GACCAGGTTTTTACCCATGATGAAGAGGGCGCAGTGCTCCCAAAAAGCCCAGTTTCTGCCTCACCCTGGTGATGTGCTCCTCCTAAGTCTTTGTTCACACCCCAGCCTCTCTGAACCGTATACTCAGCTCATTCAGGTATTCTGGCCTGACTGTGAAGGGGATACAGGATTGGTCGGCCCAGTTCACAAAGAACACAGCCTTGTTCTTCCCTCAGTTTACCTTGTCTCCTGCAGCCAGTTTGAACTGGTCGTGAATCTGTGCACTGACAGTGAATCCAAGCAGAAAATAGCAAGGTCATTCATGTACAAGGATGCTTTGATCTGCAGGGCTTCGCTGCCTGGAATAGTCACCCCTCTCAGGCTTACATCCTTCCTGATGGACTCAGCTGAAGACTCTATATAATACATAAACAAGGCAGCCCTGCCTAACTATAGATCAGATTGGGATGCTTTCTGTTTCCCACCCGTTGACTGACATTGCACTGATGATGTTGATGTCGAGCAATCGGATCCAGTTGTAAATTCCCTCCTCAAAGCCCATTCTGGAAAGCACATCCCACATGTAGGTGTATGATATCCTACTGAAGGTCTTCTCCTGGTCCAGGTTGATGAGGCAGGCATCCACCACACCACTCCCATCCAGAGGAATGTGAGGCTCTCAGAGATCGTCCTACCCGGTACGGTAGAGGTTTGGTTGGGGTGAATCGCCAATCCCAGAGCAGATCTGATCCGGTTGCCAATGCCCTCAGACAGGATTTTGTAATCTGCACTCAGCAGTGAAATTGGTCACCAATTTCTAATTTCTTCCCTCTTCCCCTTTCTGCCTGTGGATGAGGATGATAATAGCTTCCCTCGTGGTATTGCACAAACTAACTGACATACACCTCCAGCAGGTCCTGGCCAGTCAAGTCCCTCAGAGCCGAATACAACTCGGTCTGTAAGCTGTCACTTCCGGGAGTTTTATTCTTTTCTAAAGACTTGAGGGTCTTTGTCAGCTCATCCAGAGATAAGAGCTGGTCCACTCTCTCCCACATGCCATTGTCTAAGACCTCCGTGATAGAGGACATGAATGACTGGGAGGCTGTGCCGTCTGTGGGCTTCCTTCTCCCTACCTCCATCAAAAATGTGAATGGCTCAGTGATATCCATAGTCCTGTTACAGTGCCAAATCACTAACCTACAGTGGCATCATGATTCAAACTGGCATGTTATATTCATTGTTGTAGAATTTGTTTTGAGCCGTGAGGGACAGCCCTTTTCCTGGTTTATTGTGTGACAATTCGTCGTCATCAACAGTCTGCACTAACACATTGAAGAACTCTCACAGAGTATTTTAACTTGGAAAGGTGAATGTTTATCAGTGGCTGGTTACAAGTCCTGAAACTACCAGCACTTTGGGAAGTACCCCAGAGATTTGTGCCTTTAACCTCAGAATGATCTTCATCACGCAGGAATCCACCACAGGGCAAATGAGTTAGCAGTTAAAATGCACAAAGAGCTCTTATTGGTAGCTTTAATCAGGATGCCTCACTTTCAGCATCGACAAGATGATATTAATGCAATTGTGCAAACTACTCCCTACAAGTGCACCTCACAAGTGAGTGATATCATTTTCCTCAGGACTTACATGAAAATCTTAACTGCTGAGTCATTCTCAAAGAGCAGATGCTCAACTCTGACACTCTCTCTGGCCATCCAGTGACACAGGGAGTCATCAACTGCACCCAAAAGCAACCCCTGTGCCCCCAGATCTCTCTAGAACTAACATTTACTGGAAGGATATCCACTCCATCAATCTGCATCTGCAGAAAGATCATTTGCAGTCTCCGCAAAAGTCCAAGGAAATGCTATGATAGTTCCACCTGGCTCCTTGGAGATGAAGGCTACTCTCTGGATTTGTGGCTAGTGGCTTCTATGAGGGCCCCTGACAATGATACCTGGAAGAGGTAAAATCAAATCTATTTGACCACAAGAGTTGACACTAGCCAAGTAATCAAGACGGTAAAAATGCAATTTAGTTGTCAGCACAGATCGAGAAGCATCATTCAGTAAAAATTGTAAGTCCAGACACTGTGATGTTTATCCGATGCTAGAGTTTGAGCCATGTGCTCAGGGCTGGAAATGGGAGGATCCAGTCTGCATAGTCCATATACTTAATAATATTGGTAGGACAAAGAAGAAGGCTCCGTATAATCAGTATGAGGAGCTAGCTATCAAATTAAGAGGAAAATGTCAAAACTCATAATCATTGGATTATTACCTGATGCCATGTGCAAATTGACATAGAAAATATCATACTAGAGAGATCTATGTGTATCACTCAAATATGGGGTTGAGGGAAGTGGGTTCTGATTCATGGGATATAGGCACCAATGCTGGGGAGAGTGGGTACTATACTATTAGGATGGTCCCCAGCTGAACAGTGCAGGGACCAGTGTTCCTGAAAACTGTATAACCAGCAATGTACAGTTTTAAACTAAATAGTGAGGCAAGAGGTTAAATTTGGAAAGATGTGGGAATCAAAGTGCATAGGCGAGGCCAAAGTAAAAGGTATTGATATGAGAAATACTAAACAGACCTATACAGGAAGGAGCAGACAGTGTTAAGAGTAAGTCAATAAATAAGACTAGAGTTTATAAAAAAAATGATAAACTAAGAAGTTTCATCTGATTTCACATAGCATTTGCAACGAACTGGATGAACCAGGCATGCAATAGGAATAGTCCAATCTGGTAACCAGTACACTCCCAGCTGTACTGTCATGGGTTTGTGGCTGAATCCTGGAGGGTACAGGACTAACATACAGAAGGAACTAGGTGTACAGGTCCAACTTGTATTAAAAGTGGTAATACAAGTAGATAAGGTGGTCTAGCAGGCATATGGCATGCTTGCCTTCATCAGCTGGGGCCTAGAGCATAAAAATTGGCATCTTGCAGCTGTATAGAACTTTAGAATATTGTGTGCAGTGCCAGTTGCCACATTACTAGAAGGACATGGAGCTTTGGAGTGGGTGCAGAAAAGGTTTACCAGAATGTTGCCTGGTTTGAAGGGCCCCCTAGAGATCAATGAGGCCATCTACGTGTGGAACCACAGAGATGGGTGAGATCCTAAATGAATATTTTGCAACAGTATTTACTGTGGAGTAAGATATGGAAGCTAGGGAAGTCAAGGAGATAAATAACGATGTCTTGAAAAGAGTCCACATTACAGAAGAGGAGGTGCTGGAGGTTTTAAAACACATAAAGGTAGATAAATCATGTGGAGCCCGTGGGAAAATAGGAAAGAGATTGCAAGGCTCCTAGCTGGGATATTTCTATCATCAACAGTCACGGGTGAGGTGTCAGAAGACTGGAGGTTGGCTAATGTGGTGCCATTACTTAAGAAATGCTGCAAGGAAAAGCCAGGGAACTACAGATTGGTGAGCCTAATGTCAGTGGTTGGTAAGTTGTTGGCAGGGATTCTGATACAATATGGAAAGGCAAGGACTGATTAGGTATAGTCAGCATTGCTTTGTGCATGGGAAATCTTGTCTCGCAAATTTAATTGAGTTTTATGAAGAGGGGACCAAGAAGTTTGATGTAGGCAGAGCAGTAGATGTTGTCTACATGGACTTTAGCAAAGCTGACAAGTTTTTGCATGGTAGACTGGTTAGAAAGATTAGATCACATGGGATCCAGGGAGAGATAGCCAATTGGATACAAAATTGGCTTGATGGTAGGAGAGAGAGGTGGTGGTAGATGGTTGTTGTTCAGACTGGAGGCCTGTGACCAGCAGTGTGCCTCAAATATCAGTGCTGGGTCCGCTGTTGTTAGTTATTTATATAAACGATTTGAATGAGAATATAGGTGGCATGTTTAGTAAGTTTGTGGATGGCACCAAAGTTGGTGGTATAGTGGACAGTGAAGAAGGTTATCTAAGAATACAATGGGGTGTTGGTCAACTGGGCCAGTGGTTCAAGGAATGGCAGCTGGAGTTTAATTCTGATAAATGTGAGGTGTCGCATTTTGGTAAGACCAGCTATGGCAAGACTTACACAATTAATGGTAGACATCTGCTGTTGAACAGAGAGACCTAGGGGTGCACATACACAGTTTCGTGAAAGTGATGTCACAGGTAAACAAAATGGTAAAGAAGGCGTTCGGCGTGCTTGCCTTCATTAGTCGGAGCAATGAGCACAGGAGCTGGGACATCATGCTACAGCTGTACAAGACATTGGTAAGGCTACATTTGGAGTACTGCGTATAATTCTGGTCGCTCTGCTATAGGAAGGATGTTATTAAACTGGAAAGGGTTAAATAAGATTTACAAGGATGTTACTGAGACTGGAAGATTTGAGTTATAAGAAGCTAGGTAAGGCTAGATAGGCTGAGACTTTTTTCCTGGAGTATAGGAGGCTGAAGGGTGACCTTATAGAGGTTTATAAAACCACGAAAGGTGTAGATGAGGTGAATAGTTTCGGTCTTTTCCCCAGGATAGGGGAGTCCAGATCTAGAGGGTATAGGTTTAAGGTGAGAGGGGAACGATTTAGAAGGGACCTAAGGAGCAACATTTACACACAGAGGGTGGTACGTATATGGAATAAACTGCCAGAGGAAGTAACAGCGGCAGGCACAATTACAACATTTAAAAGACATTTGGTTAGGTACATGGGTAGGAAAGGTTTAGAGGGATATGGGCCAAATGCAGGAAAATGGGATTAGTTCAGTTTAGGAAATCTGGTCGGCATAGACAAATTAGGTCGAAGGGCCTGAGTCCATGCTGTATGACTCTGTGAATCTAAGATGGGTCACCTGCTCCAGGGCAATTAGGGATGGACAATAAATGCCAGTGGTGCCCACATCCCAGGGATGATTCAAATAAAGTCAGTCAATCTCACCAAAATACAAGGTTGTTGCATCCAGCAGTACAAGAACCAAGTATAAATGAATGATCACAATGATACATGGGAAAGATATTTATTTACAACTGAGTCAGAATCCTAATCAAGGTATGCAACAACAAACATTTGAGATCATCAGAACAGGGAGTTCATATCACAACACTGGTAGTTAACATTTGAAGGTGAGTGAAGATATTTGAGATGATTCCACAAACGCTCTGTGAACATTGTCCTTCCTGATCATCCCCATCACCAGGAGGATGAATCACGTCACTCTCAACAATAACCTTCATCCTCCGGGGTGAGTGTCCTCAGTCCTTCTCTTCACCATGTGTGATAACGTAACACAGGTTTTTATAGTCGAGGTTACCAGAAACATCAGGAGGGAATGCAGTAAACATCTGTTGACACTAGAGGTAAGAGTGAAGAGAGAGCATGATAGTCACAGCCATCACAGAGTCAGCAACCAGAACACCGAGCAAAAGACAAACACTTTAACCTTCCACTTGCAGTGTAGCTCCAAGCTAAGGTCACCATGTGGAGATTCTTCACTGGACCTTGTGTCATGAACTCACTACATTAGAGCCTCATTTGGGCAAGCTGTCACTCTGCCGATCAAATCTGGCTCTCTGTGGAGTAATCCAGTCAGTACCACTCTTCCACTCTGTGCATCTGCAGGATCATTTCCTTCAGGTGTCTGTCCAGTTTCCTTTGGGAATCATTGGCAGCCAGCTTTCACTCACTACCACTCGTTGCTTACAAACCTTTCCTCAAATTCTCCCCAAATTCTCCTCAAAATCTATGTCGCCTAGTCTTTGCGCAGTCAATTCATGAGAATAGCTTTTCTTTGTCTACCTGACTAATCCTGCCATAACCCTGTACATCTCTATGAAATCTCTCAATCTCAACAACCCCAGCTCTCTAACCTAGCAGTTGGATTCACTCGTCCCTGAAACAAGTTCACTCACCATGTATTGTCCATCCTTAAAGCCCCTTGAGAAGGTGAGTCACTTTCTTGCATCCAACTGAGTGGTTTCCTTGGTATTTCAGAGGTAGGTTCAGAGTCAATCACATTGCTGGTCCTCTCAAGTACCCTTGTATTATTTCCAAAAATGTGGGGACAAAATTCTAAAGGAGGCACCCACCCTGATCAAACACCAAGCTCAAAACTCATTGACCTAGAAATTCCAACAGTGTGATATCCGTGTGTCAGAGTGTGGTATCTACAAATTAAAGTGATATCCACATGTCAGAGTGTTATATCCACATGTTGGGTGGCAGCTGTCTCTGTTAAAGGAGAGTGGGGAACTGTAACCACCCTTAGGTGTAACTAAACAGAAAAGAGAGCAGGAACTTCAATCTGTTTTAACCATGAGTCACACTCACACTGTGTTTAATTGGAGAAAGAAAGGTGTTCGGGAATGGTCGGGAAAAGAGAGTGATTGAGACAGGAGAGAATCAATAGAAAGAGTGGAGGAAACTGATTTGGGGAGGGGATCTGACAGAGGGAAACAGGGTGATACAGACAGGGGAGATGGAAGGTGATTGGGAGGGGCTATGATGGGGAAAGGGGATGATGGGGTGATGCTGAAGGGTGTGATTACAAAGAGGGTGATGGACAGATGGGGTAATGGGAGAGAGGGGATGATGGGGAGACAGGGCGGATGGGGAGAGGTGGGAATGGAGTGATGGAGAGAAGAAGGGATGGCGAGAGAGAATGGATGGAGAGATAGAGTGATGGGGCGAGGGGGTTTGATGGGGAGAGGGCAGGTGATGGGAGAGAGGGAAGTGATAGAGGGGGTGATTGGTAAATGGTGTGATGAGGGGTGATGAGAAAGTTGAGAATGTACAGTGACCGGTGCTATAGTCCAAGTGACACCCGAGAGATAACATTAGAGAGCGTGTAATCAATACCTCTTCTTCGTTAAATCTGTCGGCCTGGGTGGTCAGCATATGCTTGATGCTGGAACGGAAAAGAGATAATTTAGTTTTGAATGCTCAGGTAAAGAGAGTAAGTAGGTTAGCTTAATCCATTTTCACCCACTGAAGTTGATCGTCCTCTGGTTAACTATCAATTACTTTTATACTACTCCATGTTTTCTTTATTCATTAACAGGATAAGGGTGTTGCTGGCTAGGCAGCACTTATTACCCATCCCTAATTGCTCAGAGGGCAGTTCAGAGTCAACCACATTGCTGTGGGTCTGGAGTCACATGTAGGCCAGACCAGGTAAGGATGGCAGTTTCCTTCCCTAAAGGACATTAGTGATCTAGATGGGTTTTTCCCGACAATTGGCAATGGATTCAGTCATCATTAGATTCTTAATTCCAGCTATTTTTATGGAATTCAAATTCCACCATCTGTCATAGTGGGATTCGAACCCAAGCCCCCAGAACTTTATCTGGGTCCCTGGATTAACAGTCCAGCGATAATACCACTTGGCCATCGCCTCCCCATGTCCTTTCCCAAAGTCACATAATCCTCCCAATTCAATTATCACTATCCGATGAACATGTGACAAAGGGAATGAGGACAATGAGGAATATATATATATGTCAGCCCAGATATTCCAATGGCCACAGAGTTGTTTCTCCAGCAAAGTCTGGGCCTGAAGTCAGGATCTTGCAGAATTCCTGAAGCACATGACTCCAATGGAATATTTTGGGGAAATGATGCTCAATGGGCATTTCTCCACCGATCAGGGTTGAATGTCGCATTTCTGACCCTATTTTGGAACTGCTGGGCTGTTTTACTGGTTATGGTTTATCAACTCCTTTAACTGTGAAGTTCTAGATGGTTTTTGCACTTTAACTGTAACTAGGAGATTGATTAAAATGTTGCCTTGATTCACTAAGCAGTCAGAATTAATATGAGGTTAAGCAATATAAAATATGACATGCTTTATGTTTACTGATGATAATACACTATGGACAAGAGACAAAGTTGGAATTCCATGTAAATAGCTGCAGCAAAGCACTCTCCAAGTGTTGGTGTAATTTGTAGTTGTTGAGTAAACCTATGAAGAAGGAACAAGTGACTTTTGACACAGTGTGATGAGGCACCTATTTTGAAAAGTCAGTGGACCTGCATTTTTCCCAGTCAGGTTATTACTGATGCATTACTACAGCCTCTTGGCCGGGACATTCCTCTCCCAATGGCAGTCAATACTGAGAAGGTCACTATTTTTGAAAGCACCACAAACCTCCAGTGAGCCGGCTTAACCTGGAGACTGAATGTGGTGTTGAAGCCTCCAAAGGAATGGAGGCTGATTATCACTCTTGATCACTACAGATTGTATTCACTCACTGCCTCCCTCACTGCCCCCTCTACCTTCTCCTTTACTGGTCCCTCTCCCCTCACCCTCATTGTCTCCTCTATCCTCACCCTCACAGCCCCTTCTCCCCTCACCCTCATGGTCTCCACTACCCTCTGCCTCACTGCCCCCTCTACCAATTCCCTCACTGGCCCGCTACCATCCTCCCAGCTGCTGCCCTTCCTGAACAGGCCAGCAGCCACCAGGGAGTAGTGTGTGGGTGTAGTTAGAAGGGCCTGGGGCAGCTGGGTGTGGAAAGGAGCTGGCTGAAAATAACATCCGAGCCACAGATTCGATGAAGCCCTTAGACGTCAGTATAAGAGTGTGAAATTACTTTAAAGTTTCTAAGTGTTCAAAGTGCCCTAACTAGTTCCAAATGTGAAGAATCATTTGAAAATCTCTCATGCTATTGAACGGGAAAGTGACCTGAAGGGGCATGTCCTCACTGCTGGGTTTCTCCTTGCAGCCTGGTGCTGCCTTTGCTACTCGCTTGGAGCCAGCTTCTGCATGCAGCCACTGATACGGCAACGCGAGCTGCTTAGGGCATCCTCGAGGCTCAGAGGCAGGTCCAGGCCAAAGTTCCTCGTCAGAGCGTGGGACAAGTGACAATATGGCCAGCAGGAATCACACAGAAACATGGTAAACTGTTTGAAATGTTCGTCAACAATTTGCTCTTTTGTGTCCACAGTTAAAAATCCCACAGAAATGCTGGTGGGGTTAATGAAGAGCTGATTGGACCAGGGAGAAGTGTGGTATCTGTAAGCAGGACCAGAGGACCCTGCTACATCCTGTTCTGAACTTTCCATTGGCAGGTGAAATTTAGAACACAATAAGCACGCAGCCCACAAAAACATAAGCAGTGAGGGCAGGGTGTGATACCTGCAGAGGTTTCTCATCTCTTATAGAGGTTTTTAAAATCATGAGGAGCACGGATAGGGGGATTAGCCAAGGTCTTTGGCTAAGGGAGCAGGGAGGGGAATCCAAAACTAGGGGCATAGATTTAAGGTAAGAGGAGAAAGATTTAAAAGGGATCCGAGGAGCAATTTTTTCACACAGAGGATGGTACGTGTATGGTATGAAATGCCAGAGGAAGTGGTTGAGACAGGTACAATTGCAACATTTAAAAGTCACCTGGATTGGTACATATAAATAGGAAGGGTTTATAGGAATATGGGCCAAATGCTGGCCAGTGGGACTAGGTCACATTGGGATGTCTGGTCAGCATGGACAAGTTGGACCGAAGGGTCTATTTCTGAGCTGTATGACTCTATAACTCTGCAGAACAGAACATCACCCTGATCAGATTTCCCATTGAGGCAGAAACAAGCTTGAAGCACCATGGACATGATGTCCACAGTGAGACAAATCTGGGAAAGGTGCCTGAAGATGAATGTAGCCCTTTTCTTCATTTTCATTGACCCTCTCAAAGGCCATTGCAACAGTCACCAGGCCAGCTCTCTGGACAATCCTGGAATGACGTGAAGCCCAAATACAAATCCATCAAGATTGCCCAGCCTCACCATGGAGGAATGGTGGGCTGTGTCCTTCCTGGTGGTGAATCACCAGCTCCCTCTAAGAATTTGAGCACAGTGAAGCCGGGCTATGTTCTAGCACCCATCCTCTTCAATCAGCCATGCTGTCCTGCAAACAGGAAATGTATCTCCAGTATTGTCTTGGTGGGTCACACACTAAGCTACAGCATTTCACGCAAAACCAAAACTTCTGTGAAACTCTTTGCAGGGTGAATCCTGTTTGCTGATGATTGTGACCTCATGGCTCTCAGAGTAAGAGATTCTCAGGTCAGGGCGACAGATTCTCAAAGGTTTCAAAACTACTTTGATTGACTGTCCGTCTCAGTAAAACAGCGGCTCTTTGCAAGCCTTTGCCAAATGGCAACACTGTTCTTCCAGACTGCCATCGATGGTACCAAGCTGAAGTGAATGTGCTTCATAGAAAGATCTCAAATAAGGTCAGTAAGATGAGCCAGGTGCTCAGAAGGCTTTACACCAGAACACAGAACCATTAGACTCCCTATCAGGTTCGAGCTAAGCAATATTCTTATCATAGCTTCCTTAAATATTTCTAACTCTTTTGACCACATATTCACAGACGTGAAGATATATCAAGATAAAAGCCACATGTCTGCAGAATAATAGTTTTCATACAGAAGTAACTCTGCAAGTGCCTAAAGAGGTCACAGATGTGAGGTGACATGGTGGCTCAGGGGTTAGCACTGCTGCCTTACAGCGCCAGGGACCTGGGTTTGATTCCACCCTGGGGCAGCTGTCTGTGTGGGGTTTGCACATTCACCCTGTGTCTGCATGGATCCCGTCCAGGTGCTCTGGTTTCCTCCCACAGTCCAAAGTTGTGCATGCTAAATTGCCCATAGTGTTCAGGGCTGTGTAAGTTAGGTGGATTAGATGCAGGAAATGCAGGGTTACAGGGGAAAGGGGAGGGGACTGGGGATGGGTCTGGGTGGGATGCTCTTCGGAGGGGCGGTGTGGATTTGTTGGGCTAAATGGCCAGTTTCCACACTGTAGGGATTCTATGTCAAAGTGTCAGATGGAAATTTAAAGACATGGCCTCAATGACACTATCTGGGTGCAGTCTTTTTCAAAGACCTGCAGATCTTGCAATGTTTTATTGGTATTAGAAACGGTAATGTTCAGGCACCTTCATGATCCATGTTGTTGATATCTTACAGAGTCGGGGGTACTGCAGAGTTTGACAATGGTACTATTAATAAGATTAGATTGGAGCTTAAAAATGAGAGTCGGGTCTATGTGGCTTTTAAATATATTGGTCTAGACATTCTGTAGAGTACGTCTGAAGTATAAGTAAGTTACCAATCCTGTTTAGAGAGTGTTACTCCCATCCCAGGTCATCGTCCTAAGGTAGGATAATGTTAGGTCTAAAAAAGGCACGGCCTGCAAGGCTTGATTTTGAGTTGAACTGGTTGTGTACTCAGACAGGACCAGATGTTAGTTTGATGTTTTGGAGTTAAGTTCAACAATGAAACATCTTAAAGTAGAGGGCAATAAAATGCTTTTAAGAAATGATTCTCACGAATGTCTCCTTACCTTTATCTCCGAGATGACCGGCAGTCTTTAGGACAGGGATGAGGAGGAATTTCTTCTCCCTGAAGGGATTGAATCTGTGGAATTCTTTACCACAGGGTGTTGTTGAGGCTGGGTCACTAAGCATATTCAAGGCTAAGATAGATTTTTAATCAGAGAATCAAGAGGGAAGGGCAGGAAAGTGAAAGTTGAGGATCATCAGATCAGCCATGATCTCATTGAATGGTTCAGAAGACTTAATGGGCTGAAGGGCCTACTTCTGCTCCTACGTCCACGGTCTTAAAGACTAATATGACACTAGACATTTATAAAGATGCTTCACTTATCAATCTCACTGATGGATATTTTAATATGAATAGATTCATAATATTTCTTGTTGGTGAGAATGGAAAATATGTTTTAGCTTGGGAAGTTAAGAGAATAAAAATTGTTGTTGGCTGCTGAAACTCTTTCTCATGGAAGCAGTGGGTTTCTGTACAATGCACAAACTGAAGTTGTTATATCCATTGGGCGTTGTGTAGTTAATCATTTAGTGTTGGATAATGAAAGTGCAAGTGAAAAAATGTTATGGATTGACCACACTGGCTTGAAGCAAATGTTGGAGATAATCTCAAACTGAATAGGTAGGTGTAAGTCATCACCTCTCTGATTGTTTTCTGAAAAGAAATGCATGGACGAATAAACTGCAGCAGTGACATCAGCAAGATAATAAACTGCGTCCAAGAAAATGGGCTGAGGAGTGGCTGAAGGAGTTTAATTTGGATAAATGCCAGGTATTGCATTTTGGTAAGGCTAACAAGGGCAAGGCTTATAGAGTTAATGGGGAGTGTTATTGAACAGATAGATCTAGGGGTTCAGGTACATAGTTCTTTGAAAGTTGTGTCACAGGTAGACAGAGTGGTTAAGAAAGTGTTTGGCATGCTTGCCTTTATTGCTCAGACCATTGAGCATGGGAGTCAGGACATCATGTTGTAATTGTACAGAATATTGGTGAGGTCACTTTTGGAGTACTGTGTACAATTCTGGTCACCCTGCTATAGGAAGGATATTACTAAATTGAAGAGGGTGCAGAAAAAATTTACTAGGATGTTACCTGAACTGGAGCATTTGAGTTATAATAGGCTGGGACTTTTTTCACTCATTTGTAGGAGGTTTATAAAATCATGAGGGGCATAGATAAGATGAATAGCCAAGGTCTTTTCCCTAGGGTGGGAGAGTCCAAAACTAGGGGCAAAGGTTTAAGGTGAGAGGAGAATGTTTTAAAACGGACCTGAGGGGCAACTTTTTCACACGGAATGTAGTTTGTGGTGGAATGAACTGCTAGAGGTAGATGCAGGTACAGTTACAACATTTAAAAGACATTTGGACAGGTACATGGTTAGGAAAGGTATAGAGGGATATGGGCCAAATGCAGGCAAAGCGTACCACGCCAAACTTGGTCGGTATGGACGAGATGGACCGAATGGTCGGTTTCTGTGCTGTATGACTGTGACTCTTCGACCCCAAAGCAGAGGCATCAGGAAGATAATAAACAGGATCTGAGAGCAGGGATATCATCAACTATTTGTAGAATGTTTTGCAACATCGTTTTCCAGGGAGGTTTCACGGTGCTCAGTGCATCGATGTTATAAAACAATGATTTAGAATTGAATATCACAGGGATGATTGGTAAGGTTACAGAGATTTATCGAAGGCTGACATGTGATTGATTGTAAGGCAGACAGTTGTAGACTGCAGGAGGATTTTGATGTATTGGTCAGACGGTAACTGTGATTTAAATCTGGAGAAGTGTGAGATGGTGCACATGAGAAGAAGAAACATGGGAAGGGAATACTCCATAAGTGGTAAGATATTGAGAAGTGTAGAGGAGCAGAAGGACTTTGAGTGTATGTCCTGACAGTAACAGGACAATAAGGTGGCTTTGTAGCTGAGTGGGATACTTTCCTCTATTGGCTGTGGTCTAGACAAGCATCTCCCAAACATTTCCCCCATGTGGCCCCATTCTAAAGCTTGAACATTGTCACTGACCTTAATAAGTTGGTCAGAGTTCCCTGGTGGTTACTGCTGATTCACATCTCATCATCCCAAAGTTTCAGTGTGCAAACCCCCTTGGGTCCCAACCACTCTTTCTAAAGCACAAGCGTAGACTGTAGGAGTTGGGTGTTTACACCAACTGGATAAAATACTGATTAGATGCCAGAGTACTGTGTATGGTGCTAGTCACTGAACGACAGGAAGGATGTAATCACAGTACGGAGGTATTGAAAAGAAATTGAAGCAAATTGCCAGTGATGAGACTTTCAGTAATGTGAAAAGCTCAGAGCAGCTGTGTTTTTTTTAAAATTTAGAACAGAATAGCTAAGAATAAATTAATTAAGGTGCTTAAATTATGATAAGTTTAGACAGACTGGATAAGGAAGTTCCATTTCTGATGGGGGGTTGCAATCATTATTGGGGGGTTTTGTACATTTGAAGTAATTGGGGGAATGATGAGGGGAATGTTGGGAATAATGTTGTACCACCCAGAGGATGGTGGGGTCTGGAACTCACTGCCTGAAAGGGTGGTAAAGGCAGTAACTCCCTGTGAACTAAAAAAAAACCTGGATGAACATTCAGGCTGTTGTAATCTGCAGACCAGGAGCTGGAAAATGGATTAGAATGGATAGGTCTTCCTCAGTCAGAATATACATCATGGACCAAATAATTAATATTTCTACAAAGTGTGCATTAATTATATTTAGTTGTTTACTGGTCTCCCACCACTATTAATTATTTATTAATTATTATGAATTAATTCTAAGTTCTCTGGTGAGAATCAGAAGAGAAATTATTATCAGAGGAGCAGGAAAGCTGACGTTTTGGGTCTCTGTTTCGGATTTCTGAAGAAGGGTCTCAACCCGAAACGTCAGCTTTCCTGCTCCTCTGATGCTGCTTGGCCTGCTGTGTTCATCCAGCTCTACACCGTGTTATCTCAGATTCTCCAGCATCAGCAGTTCCTACTATCTCTGAGAAATTATTATGTTGGGTTTGGAAGTACACATATGTAATGTGTATCTGTACAAATAAATGTTAACAAAAGTGTGTAAAGATTGGTTCCATTTCTAAATCCGACCAATTGTCTTCTGGAGTATAACAAGCCCACAGAGAAACATAGCACCACACAGAGAAGCACAGGACCATACAATCATAGATGTTTTAGTGGTCATACAGGTGCATAAATCCCCAGAGCCTGATGAGATGTATTCCAGGCTGCTGTCGGAGGCAAGGGGGTAGATTACTAGGCTCCCTAGCAGACATTTTTAATACTATGCTGGCCATAGGTGAAGTGTCAGAAGACAGGAGGATAGCTAATGTGGTTCCCTTATTCAAGAATTGCAGCCAGGATAGACCAGGTCATTACCAGTTAGTCTGATGTCAGTGGTAGGGAAATTATTGGAGCAAATTCTGAGGGACAAGATTAATCAACCTTTGGAAAGGCAGGGATTGATCAGAGATAGTCAGTATGGATTTGTTGGAGGGACACCCTTTCTGACTAATTTAACAAAGGTTTTGAAAGGGTGACTAAATATATTGATGGGGGTAGTGCCATTGATGTGGTTGATATGGACTTCAGTGAGGCCTTTGACTGAAAAACTGGGCTAAATGATAACAGCCCAGTTAATTGGGCAGAGCAATGGTAGACGGAATTTAATCCTGATATGTGTGAGTTGGTCCATTTTAGAAGGTCTAATAAGGGAAGGATATACACAATGAATGGTACATCCCTAGGAGTACTGAGGATCAAAGGGACCTTGGTGTACAAGTCCATAGCTTCCTGAAGGTGTCAGCACAGATAGGCAGGGTAGTGGAGAAGGCATACAGGATACTTGCCTTCATTAGCAAGAGTGTAGACTATAAGAGCAAGTGAGTGTTGTTGCAACTTTATAAAATAATGTGTGCAGTTCTGGTTGCCACACTATCAGAAGGATGTGATTGCACTGGAGAAGGTGCAGAGGAGATTCACCAGGATGTTGCCTGGGATGGAAAGTCTCAGTATTGAGGAGAGACTGGATTGGCTGGCTTTGTTTTCCCTGGAGCAGAGGAGGCTGAGGGGAGCACCTGATTGAGGTATACAAAATTATGACAGGCATAAACAGAGTAGATCCGGCAGATATCTCTAAGGCCAGAGGGCATTGGTTTAAAGTGAGGAGTAAATGGTTTAGAGGAGATCTGAGGAAATATTTTTTTCACCCAGAGGGTGATAGAAATGTGGAATGTGCTGCCTGAGAGGGTGGTGGAGGCAGGTACTCTTGCAACATCTAAGAAACATCTGGATGAGCACTTAAAATGCCAGGGTACAGTAGGCTGTGGAGTAAGTGCAGGTAAATGAGATTAGTGTAGTTTGGTGATTCTTGGTCAGCATAGGCACAGTGGGCTGAACGGCCTGATTCTACACTATATGACTCCATGACTCTATGACACTGGGTGCCTTAGGAAATGCTTTACAGTTGAATGTTTACAACCAAAGAGAATGTTAAAAATATTAATATTTTGGAGACTTTGATTAAATCCTGTGGATGATGGCTTTGCTTAAATCTACAACAACAGGAAAAAACAGAAGATTTATTTTATACTCACTAATCTGCTTTGATGTGTCCCTTGGCTTCTGGGTCAAAAATCTTGAAAGCATTCAGAATCGTTTCTTCTGGGTCCGCACCTGTGAAAATCCACAGGAACCAATTGATCATCAGTGGTAAATCATCAGCAGTTGATCATCAGTGTGGGGCTAACAGGGAGAGGCAGTAAGGATAGCATGTTTAATGTGGTCTACATGGAATTTAACACGGCTTTTGACAGTGTTCCATATGGCAGCCCATTCAGAAAAATAAAAGCTGGTGGGATCGATAATCAAGTGGTAATTTGGATCCAGGATTAATTGAGGTTGTTATCTTTGGAGAAGAGGTAGGTAAGGGGGGTTCTTATTTTGTTATAAAATGTTGAGGGGCTTGGATTGAGTAGATAGGAAGGAGTTCTTTCCTGCAACAGAGAGGTCTCTTAACGGGAGTCTGAGACTTAAAGTCATTGGTTATTAATACAAAGTAATTAGATTAGGAGGAGGTGGAAACTCTCTCTGCATTGAAAAACATGAAGTGCTACAATCTATCGAGCTACAAGTCAGCAATTGGATCATTGACATGGACCCAACAGGCCAAATGGCCTCCCTCATTCTGTCACTGTGAGGCAAATGGGTCAGTCTATTCCTTCCATCATCTTATCCAGAGAGATTGGTTGCGAACCCCTCCCCTACAAAAGACTGCCCTTGAAGAGGGGTCCCACATGAAAGACTGGACCAAATGATATTCGCCCAGTTAATTGGGCAGTGCAATGGCAGATGGAATTTAATCCTGATATGTGTGAGTTGGTCCGTTTTGGGGAGGTGATGTTTTAGTGGCATTATCGCTGGACTGTGAATCCAGAGACCCAGATAACATTCTGGGGACCCAGGTTCGAATCCCACCAAGGCAGATGGTGGAATTTGAATTCAATTTAAAAAATCAGGAATTAAGAATCTAATGTAGACCATGAATCCATTGTCGATTGTTGGAAAAACTCATTTGGTTCACTAATGTCCTTTAGGGAGGGAAACTGCCATCCTTACTTGGTCTGGCCTACATGTGACTTCGGATCCACAGCAATGTGGTCGACTCTGAACTGTCCTCTGGGCAATTAGGGATGGGCAATAAATGCTGCCTAGCAAGTGACGCCCTCATCCTGTTAATGAATTTTAAAGAAGTGTTTCTAAAACCCATCTAGCTGCTGAAGTTGAGACTGTGGCCTGCAGTAAGTTCCATTGAAGGATTAGATCCTCATTTTGCTCAATGTATATCTTACTCATTAAATTAGGTTTCAAAATTTGATTTGATCCAATTCTGAAGTCACTTCACAGAAAGAACTTAGATTTCTAAAACACACATCTGCAACAAATCCCAAGGGCTTCAATATTCGCTTTAACGTACAGCTGACTGTTATTAAATAGTTTAAACAGCAGCAAAGTCCCACAGACAGAAAGTACACAAATAGACAAGAGAGACAGTGTCCACTCTTTGCTTTTGTGCTATTGTTAAAGATGATTGAGTTTTTTGAAGAGGTGACAAAGAAGATTGATGAAGTCAGAGAGGTAGATGTTGTCCATATGGACTTCGCAAAGCGTTTGACAAGATTTCACATGGTAGACTGGTTAGTAAGGTTGGATCACATGGGATCCAGGGGAGCTAACCAACTGCATACAAAATTGGCTTGATGGTAGGAGACAGAGATGGAGGTGGAGGGCTTTTTTTTTGGAATGGAAAAGGAAAATGCCACAAGGATCAATGCTGGGTCTGCTGCTTTTCATCATTTATATAAACAATTTGGATGTGCATATTAGAGGCATGGTTAGTAAGTTTGCAGATGACACCAAAACAGGTGGTGTAATAGACAGCGAAGAAAATTATCACAGTGTACATTGGGACCTTGATCACAACAACCAATGGACCAAGGTCAAATTTGACCATGGTCAAATTTAATTAGATGTGAAGAGTTGCATTTCTGTAAGGCAAACCAGGGCAGGACTTATACTCTTGTCGGCCCCTGGGGCATGTTGCATAACAAAGAGGAAGAAACTAGGCAAAATGAAAAGAAAAGAATTGACTAGTCAGATTAGCCATGATCTATTGAATTATGCAGCATTCTCGAGAGGCCGAGTGGTCTACTCCTGCTCCTAATCTGTATATTCATACATTAAGGGAAATGCTTCAAATATATAATGATAGATGTGATGTAAGAAAGTTAGGATAAAAATGCAGTAGAGGCAGGTTCAAAGTAGGCATTCAAGAGGGTTTTGGATTGTTACCTGGATAGAAATAATGTGCAAGGTATGGGACAAAGGAAAATGGCAGTAGGTAATGATGTTTATTTGAAGAGTCAGTGGAACACAATGGGTTGAATGGCCTTCTGTACCATAACACTTTTGTAATCCAGTGGTAAAAGCCCAGGGTGACATTAACATGAGCCTTGCAATGGCCTGATATAAAATCTTGCAATTTTGGTTGACATTATTATGTCCATTCCCTTTCTTGAGAAATGTGTCTAATCAGCCTGTTCAGAGATGTTACTATACACCTCTAGTCAGCTTGGACTTGAACCCAGGCCTCTTGGTCCAGAGGTACATACACTACCACTGCAACACCTCCTCTGGCAGCTGCCTCAGTTCAATTTATACTGAGCACAAGACAGTTAACAATTCACAGCAATTGAAGAGGATTGCCTGGGGACTACCTTTGGCAATATTAATGACTCAATGCTTAATGTGTTTGTAATGACATTCCACCAAACAATAGAGGAATTAACCCTGTTTAAAATAGACACAGTAACATTTCCTGTACAGCGATGCACAAAGCAAGTTCACAATTGCTCCTCTACCAATTGGTCACGTGGTCCAGCAATTATTATCCTGACATTGTCAGTTTTTAAAAATGTTCACACATGCACAAACATTTCCTCCTGAAACAAAGATGCTCTTCATGATACTAGACCATTATTGGATTAGGAAAAAGAAAAAGGGAAAATTTACTCTACATGAAATTAGACTGGCTGATAGCGAATGGGGAAACTTTAAGCATAAGCTCATCAACCAACCATTGAATTGGGGACGGGTATGGACTCTTTTTACATAACGTCAGTATTAGAGTCAAATGTACTTAACCTCAGCACCTTACTAAACCTTTATGGGGTTCTAAGTCAATCACTTTTGTCCCTTACCTTTCATTTTTTCGCCAAACATGCTGAGAAAGACAGTGAAGTTTATTGGCCCCGGTGCCTCAGCCAACATTGCATCCAACTCCTCACTTTTTGCAGCACGGCCTAGGGACAAAGCAGGTGCCTGGCACAAGTTATTCCAAACTTCCAAACATGATAAACGTCCAATCCACTTTTATGCACTCAAAGCATTAAAAAAACCTGGAAAGTAAGTAAGGAAATGGTTCCTTACCCAGAGCAGCAAAGGTGTCTCTCAGGTCCTCTTTATTGATGAAGCCATCTCGGTTCTGATCCATGATGGTGAAAGCCTGAGGGAGGAATTGATGAGACTGGGCTGGCCAAAGATAACTGATATACTAGCTATACTGTGTTACTGATTCATTCTTTTTTTACATTGTGCACTCCCAGTATTGTCAAACCAGCCTCTTCCCTCATCAGATTACATACTGACATTGAAAATGGAAGGACAGCCACATGAGACATTGAGGAGATGGCAATGGTGGCTCAGTGGTTAGCACTGCTGCCTCACAGCTCCAGCGACAGAGTTTGATTCTGTCTGTGTGGAATTTGTAAATTCTCCCCGTGTCTGTGTGGGTTTCCTCTGTGTGCTCCGGTTTCCTCAAAGATGTGCAGCTTAAGTTGGAAATGCAGGGTTGCACGAATAGTGGGGTGGGTCTGGATGGAATACTCTTCAGAGGGCTCAGTGTGACTTGATGGATCAAATGGCCTGCTTCCACATTGTAGGGATGCTATAAACTGTAGGGATTCAATGAAATGAGCAAAGGACTTATCCTTTGGCTACGCTGTATTATCAAGCCACACCACTGCCCCCAGTTTCAATCCACCGGACACTATCAAGTGAATGTTGGCATATTCTTTCCCATAACTGATGTCCAAGGTGCAGATTTGGAGGCTGTGGTTAGATACAGTTTGATGTTAGGCTGGAGAGTGATTGAGGAACCCAGTGCAGACTGTGGTTGGGGTGGGAAGGGAGGGCAGATCTCACACTCACCTCTTTGAGTTCTTGAATCTGAGATTGGTCAAACATGGAGAAGACATTAGAGCTTCCTCCCTCCAACTTCTTCTTTGCTCTCTTTGGGGACTGAAAGAGATAAAACAGGAATAATTTCAAACTCTCAGCAAGAGGTTCGCCCTTCTAGAGACTACGGGAAAGACAAGGAAACAAAGGGAAAGCAAAGTCGAGGTGAGACATGGAAAGGCCAGTGACTTCTATAACGTTCCTTCAGGGGAGGTGAAAAGTGCTGGCCCTTACCATCTCTCGATGCTGATCCCTGTATCCTTTTAACAGGCCAGACTAAACAAGGTGGGGCCGCTCTCTTATATGTGGACTGGGAGCGAGTAAAAATATCCAGCCTCCCAGTTTAGATGCTGGAGCTGATAATGTGGCGAGCATCCAGCTCGGTAACCTAATCGGCTGGCTATCTGAAACTCGCCTGACCTTCAGCGACAAAGAAACATTGCAGCTTTTTCGGAGAATTAGGGAGCTGGGACTGTCAGCCTGAGCGCTTCCAAGGAACATTGGCAAGAGGAGGCAGTCACCTCCAGGTAACTCCTGGCTCTCCCTCAAGGAGTGTGCTAGCAAGAAGGCCACTCCTTTATTCATTTCCTCTCTCTGTTTCTACACTTTTTCACATCTCAGGTTAATGTCAAGTGAGGTTTCTGAGGAGATTTGGATTATTCTCCCCACGCCCCCATCCCTGTCAATGATAATTTTCCAAACACAATATTTCAAAGGAGAAACGGACAGTGGGCGTTTCCTGCTGAAGTGGAAAAAATAACAACCTGCAGTTTAAAATAGGGCAGCAGTCACAGGCGATGTGCTGAGAGTGTATTGTGATATCTGGCAGGGATTCCATCCTATTGTTCCCGAAAGGTCGAGAAGGTCTTTGTTTGAGTCCTTGAGCTAATCCCTGGGGAACGGTGCCATGAGCCCTGAATCCAGCGCCTAATATGGTCCGAGTGGGGATGGTCGGGGCGTTTGTGTGTCTGGACGATGTTATGGGTGTGGAATGTAGTCAGAACTGGTCAAATCAGCCTCCAAATGTGGACGTGCATCAACCATTTATATCCTTTGTCATTTCATTTGAGATTTACTGAAGAATTCCCTGATATTTCTGTCTCGTTATTCTAGCTCCTAATTCTATTCTGTCATGGAGATATCCTCCAACACCTCAGTCATCATCTAAACCGGCTGTCATCGAGCTATTAGCTGCTAGTAAGCCAGCCCCACATTATATCATTCTATACCTCACCAACATCATAGAATGCCTACAGTGTGAAAATAGGCCATTCAGCCATCAAGTCCACACTGACCCTCTGAACAGCATCCCACCCAGACCCAGCCCCCACATCCCTGCATATCCTATGGTTAACCCACCCAGTCTGCACATCCCATGCCGATCCACCTAACCTGCACATCTTTGGACTGTGGGAGGAAACTGGAGCACCCAGAGGAAACCTCGCAGACACAGGGAGAAAATGCAAACTCAACACAGACAGTCACCTGAGGGTGGGATCAAACCTCAGTCCCTGGCGCTGTGAGGCAGCAGTGCTAACCACTGAGCCACTATGCCTACTCCCTCCCTTTCTGATGTCATTCATTAACTTAAAGTTATACACTGGTTAGTGACAAGCACAATACGCTTCTATTGTTTGGTAATCTAGAAAAACAAAACCATTTGCCAACAAAGTGAGATATAGCAAGAACAGCAGATGCTGGAGTCAGAGGCAATACAGTGAGGAGCTGAAGGAACATAGCAGGTCAGGCAGCATCAGAAAAGCAGGAAAGTTGACGTTTCGGGTCAGGACCCTTCATCAGGACTCTATCAGGTGTCCTGATAACCCAAAACGTCGACTTACCTGCTCCTAAGATGCTGCCTGACCTGCTATGTTCCTTCAGCTCCTCACTGTATCGACTTTGCCAACAAAGTGAAACTCCTTTCTCTGGCTCCTTATCCTCTCCTGCTGCCTGTGCTGTCCAGTCTCACTCTTTATGTCTGAGCCTGCACAATAGGTCCCAAAGACCTGTATGTTTCAGCAGAGTGAGGGGTGTAGAGCTAGGGGAACACCACGCACAGGCTCAGAATTCCCTTTCTACCATTGTTCTGCTCGTTTTGTCTTGGTCCAACTGTGAGGTCCCATTGTTACACCTACCCCCTTCCCTCCTACCACAGCTCAATGAGTCAATTGGCTGAAGGGGTCAAGTTTCAGGCATGTGCCCTCTGCCCCATGAGCTAAGTTAGAGGTCAATAAAAGAGCCATTCATGTACCCACGCAATTGACGAGTGAAAACCCACAGGGTAGTGATGGTAACACAGACTATTCTGCAATTCTGCACCTCTCTAAAGTTTACTATTGTCAAAGCTAATCACCAACACATTTTCACCCCCAGCCACGTCAGTGAATATCAGACTAAAACAGGGGTTTCTCTATGTAGATTTCCAAATTTTCTGTTCCAAAGGCAGAAAGCAGAAGGACCAAGTGAAGAGGGCTCACAGCAAGCACATGTCCCCACCATGCAGCATTAACTCAATGCTGTTACAATTACACTGCTTTTCTTTCCTTGGATAGCGCTCTGTAACTACAAATCCAAAAAAGGAAAGCATTTTATTGAGAGCTTCCATCTCACTGAGTAGGCTCCAGATGAGGCAATATCTAGTAATCTGCTCTGAAAACTCTGTTAAAATTTGACAGTATAACTTGAGTACTGTATTATCATGTTGCTCATTCCGAGATTTTAAAGACCAATAGATGACCCCCACTGTTCAGCCATTCAGTTTTCTGAATGAAAAAGGCTTGTGTTCAAAATAATTGACCACCTACAAGAAATCCCAAATATGAAAGCCAACTTGGAAAAGGAATCATTGTTTATTCCAGAATGCTATTACCTTAATGATGAAATCTTAAGGCAGAAGTGGAGACCTTGGCAGGTTAGTGCAGATGAGAAATGGGCAGAAGTTCACCAGATTGTGTGGCCGGTAGAATACAGTCAGGAAGTATTGTGGATAGCACACAAATTACCTGTAGGAGGTCAGCTAGGAATGAGGAAGTCTCAGACTAAGGTACAGAAGCATTTTTATTGGCCTGGATTGCATAAAGATGTAGTTGAATTTTGCCATACCTGTCATGTGTCAGATGGTAGGAGAGCCACAGGCCATAATAAAACTAGCACCCTTAATGCCAATCCCTGCGTTTGAAGAACCTTTTACATGGGTAGGTCCCTCCCTAAAACCAAAAGTGGGAACCAGTATTTGCTAACCATAATGGATGTGTCTACCAGGTTTCCGGATACAATTCCATTACGGAATGCCAAGGCAAAAAAGGTTGTGAAGGAGTTGCTTACTTTCTTTACCCGTTATGGACTACCCAGGGTGATTCAGTCAGACCAAGGGTCCAGTTTTACTGCCAAATTATTTGAGGAGGTCATGATAGTTTTGGCATCAAACACTTTAAATCAATGTGTATACCATCCCGAATCGCAGGGAGCATTGGAAAAGTGGCATGAGACCCCAAAGACCATGTTGAGGACTTATTGCCAGGGTTACCCAAATGATTGGGATAAAGGTATCCCATTTATATTATGGGCTTCAAATGAATGCTTCAAATGAATGGACTCAGTTTACTCCATTTGAATTGACATTTAGACACAAAATAAGAGGGCCTTTAAAATTAATTAAGGGAAGGTTGATAGGTCCAAAGTAAGAGATCTCACAGTTGGATTATGTATCTGAGGTGAGAGAAAGATTAACCAGAGTAGGTGAATTGGCTAGACAACATTAGAAGATGGCACAGTACCTAATGAAGCACGAAGCAGGTAAGAAATCTAACTTCTCATTCTAGATGACAACTGCAAACACTCCACCTCAAACGATCAGAATTCCTTTCACAAGTTCACAATCTTTTCCCAGGGCCATGTTCACTTCCAGGTCTGCTTTCAAAAGTCATTCTGCATTTTCTGACCTTTCACATCTTTTCCTTATTTTGCCAATCAATAGATTTTACCTCATGTCTCTCATCTTACACATTGAGGCAATTTGTATTTGTCAGTGGCTTTCCCTGCTTGCCCTTTAACTGTGATATTCCTCTATTCATTAGTCTTCATTTTCTTTTTTGAAAGCTCTGGGATGCAAGCCAGATGTTCTTGTGGATTTGTCACTCTTTAATACTATTTATTGCTTCATTGCAGTAATGTCCTGCCGATCTCAGGATATGTGCTCCCAGAGATTGTTGCAATCTGTGAATTTGACCCTGGCGGATAGCACAAGCTCAGTGAGCATTTTTACTCCAGGAAATAAGCTTTCTTATTTTTGTACTTTAAAACTGCACATAAATGAAGATTAAACTTGTCGTTGATGAAAAGGTGTGCATTAAGCATTGTGCAGAGAAGTGAATTTGCAAAAAGCAGGACTCTCCTGTTATCGTGTTTTATTTGATTCCCTTTCCCTGATTCAGTGTTAGCTTCCTTGTGATGTCTGCTTTTTCCTTTCATGGAAATGCAGCCACAAGGTAATTTATTCAGCATATTTACCACTTTGCTATTACCATTGACAATGTCACTATTACCTTTTCCCAAGGACTACTTATTAATGAAGCTGCTGCTTTGACCTGGAGGCAATGGAATTGAAACTGTGAAGTGGGTGATTGAGCAAGTGAGCAGGCCTAGGGCCCCCTCTCCTGGAAGAGCCTGTAAACAGAGTTGTATTGACACGTAAAGCAAATTTACCGTTCTAGATTATTCCGACGTACTGAAATGTGGGTTTATGTTTTAGTTTTCTAAAGGGCACAATTGAATGGATGTCAAACTTGTCAGCAAAGCTAAGAGTAATAACCGACTCTTTCACAAAGTACGAGGGAACAGATTGAAGCAAAGAGACAGAGGGTGGATTCTGAGTGACGTGGGCAATGGTAATATATGTAACTGAATCAGATGAGGAGACCAATGAGGTCTATCTTGATGTTTCACTGCACCTTTTATACTTTTATCAAGTGGCAACCCAAGTTTCTCGCTAGGCAGCAGTGAGCTGTCGGTTAAGGGGGATTGTGGCTTGGTACACACCCTATTAATACCACAAATCCCCTCATTAATATTTAGCTTCCTATCTTACCAAACAAGCTCAACATTGAGAAATCTCGACATTGAGAAACCAGAGCATCTACCTGGTGCATTCAGCTCACTGCTTGCTCTGAAAGACCCCCCACCCCCCACCCCCCCCCCGACACACCCCACGGTCCCAGGGCACAGTGCATGTACACACACACCCCACAGCTACAGACATTGGCATCTAACACGTGCCAGTCTCTAAGAGTACATCTCCGATCCACTGTCAGGATATTTCTACACTTCAAC